AGCGGCCGCGATATCCCTCGGTGACGTCACCGCGGAGGGGAGTGGCGGGGCGGGAACTCGCCTATTACCGTAAGAACGCGAGCGTTACGTTACCGCCACGTACCGCTGGGGAGGTAGGGGTCAACATGTCACAATATATATATCAGACTTTCAAAGTTTATTTTATTTGTTCAGATATTTTATTATTTTGGCCACATTGTTATGTCTAGTATTGAATTTGGAAACATGAGCATGTTTCAGATCATGAGGTTTGTCAGAGTTCTGCAGTTATTTTATTGCTTTTCATATATTATTAAATGCAATCTTAATCTTGTTAACAAGAGTGTGTATCAGATTCTCAAGTTTCATTATACTACTGAAATTAATAACAAATGGAAACCTCCATATTATTGCTCCCTATACAAGATTTATAACATATTAATGTAACTGAAAAGCTATGTTTTGTGTAGCTTTCGAGTATAAGTTTTAAGCAAAGTTATGAAGTTGAATACAAGTATCTCTGATGGAAACAGAATTTTCTTTCAAGTTTATCCACCATCAGCTTTCATAAACTCAAGTATTCTATATATGTTATAGTTCAAGTATCCATTGCATTTCAGTAAGGAGGTGTTGATTGTTTATTGTTTATTGTTATTAAATAACTCCACAAATCCTGTACAGGGGCTTTAGCACCCATAGGATATAGAGCTAGTCAAACTTATATACAATCTCATACAAAACATAAAAAGATACATGGATAAAAAGATACATGGTGTAACATTAAATCAAGCCATATCATAACAACATAGATTCATACACTTACACTATTAGAAATACAACCTTTTACTTTTTATTACTCCAAGTTCATTTGTCACAATCATTAAACATTAATCATAAAACAATATCACATAATACTAAGTAATAAACATAATTAAAATTAAAAAATATAACATACAGTTAATCCCATTTACATCCAATCAGTATTTACAAATTATTTTGATAAAAAAACTCCTCTAATGAATAAAATGACCACGAGCAAAGATATCTCTTTAATGCTGTTTTAAACAATTCAATTTTGTATGATAATGATTTTATATTTATAGGAAGATGTTTAAATATCCTCATTCCAATAGCATATGTCCCTTCATTATATATTGTTAATCTAGCAGATGGAAAATGAAGGTCAGTATTGTGCCTAGTATTTAGACCATGAATTTCTTGATTAGTTTTATAAAGATGCTTATTTCTCACAACGAATATCATCAAAGAAAATATAAAGAAAGCAGTCTTCTGGGATTTGGCGCCGTGTATATGTGAAATCCCAGAAGACTGCTTTCTTCATAGTCACCGCCATGAAAGCCTCAAATCTTACAAAGAAAATATATATTGAGAATAAAATGGTAAAATTTCCCAATCTTTAAAAAGTTGTCTACAAGAGTCTCTACATCTAGTCTTAGTCATAATATGGAGTATTCGTTTTTGCATCTTAAAAACACTAAGACTATGTGGTGAATTACCCCATAATAAAATACCATAAGATAATAATGAATGAACATTTGCAAAATATATCATTCTTAGAGTATTCTCCGTCATAAGGGGCGTGACAATCCTGATAGCATAACAAGCGGAACTTAACTTTTTTAAAACATGTTCAATGTGCCCCTTCCATGACAACTTTTCATCAATAATCAATCCTAGAAACTTGATATTAGTAAGATCAGTGATATGCTTATCTGCAAAAGTAATGTTTAAATCAAGCTTCTGACTGTTTTAGTCCGAAATTGTAAAAGATGTGTTTTGTCAAAATTTAAATAAATCAGATTACTCCTAAACCACTTATTTAAGTCATCAAGAGTGGTATTTATCTCCGTCAAAAAGTGTACAGGATTAGAACCAGTTACAATCATACTGGTGTCATCAGCATACAGCACTAATGTATTATTTTTAGAAACCGTCAAAGGCAGATCGTTAATAAATAAAAGAAAAAATAGAGGGCCCAAGATAGATCCCTGCGGCACCCCGTGTTTGACTATCTCCCATTCAGAGTAACTATTTCTAGAATTATTTTGAATTATCACCCTCTGGTATCTCTCTGTAAGGTAAGATTTGATCAAGGCATTGAATTTCCCTACAATGCCAGTGTATTCAAGTTTATTCAACAGGATTTTATGATTTACGTCAAAGGCCTTCTTTAAATCACAGAAGATACCTCCCATGTAAATAAAAAGTTCACCCGGTGAGAAACTTTTTTGCGATAAATAATGTTGCAACCTGATCTCTTGTACTGAAGAGGTTCTTACTCCGTTGTGCTCTCTGTTTTCGAACTGACTTTGATATCACTTAGCTCATGCCCCTCCAGATGGTTTTGAGTGAAGTCATATTAACCTTTAAACTCAGTTTGAAAACAAAAAACACTCAATGAGGTAAGAACCTCTGCAGTATAAGAGGCCAGGGTTGCAAATTATTTGTAGCTACACATGTGAACCTGCGATTCTTTGGGAGGGAGCAGTACACAAAGGCTGATGGTACGATAGCATTCTTTCTTACCAACAGGGCATGGGGGTATAATAGCATACCCTCTTACCGACCGAGGTCTCGGAACTGGCGGGAGCCAATTGGAATCAATACAGTTGCATTCAGGCACTCCGGCAGCAGTGATGCTTACATGACGTCACGGTGGGTATGTTGGCTATGATGCTCCAACCTCTCCAAGCTCTCCAACAAATTGCCATTCGGTGCATTCGGTTGTGCTGTCATGTTGTAGAGCGGTATATATGCGTATTCATAATTGTAATGGATGTAGTGGATCTGTTGAAGGATGAGATCTTGAATTTGAGGAAGAAATTGATGGAGAAGGAAGCTGTGCTAAGACAACATCAGACTCAGGTTAGAGTTATTTTGTCCGGTGCCGATGGGTAGAAATGGCTGTAAAAGTTAAAATCCGTTTTGGAGCTTGTGTTATATAACAATTCGTTATTCAGCAAGAGCTTTGTTTCAGACAACCGTAAGTTTCGTTTAGATGCCATAACTACCCTCCAAGATAAATTATCAAAGTATTGATTAGGTGCCTTCTTCCAGCACCAGTTTCAAATGTATATACTAAGTTTTGCTTTTTTTATGTTACATGTTACTGCATTGGAAGTGCCTTTACCTTTACTTACGTATAGGTTATGTGAATTTACTGTTTTTTTTGGGGGGTTGGCAGTAGTACTGGTGACACTGTCGGACCTTCATCCAAATTCTGTTAGGAGAGTTAAAAAAAAAGGTAAAGCAACCCCT